TGCCTTACTTTTAATGGTCGAAAGTGAGTAGCCTCTCATAGACACTTTTTGCATGGATGAGATCCATAATGAAATATAGCCGTTTTTTATTTAAAATAGTCTGAGTACGTGTTTGATTTATCCAAACAGAATATGTCCTTTCCAAGCGCTGACCTTGGACATTAAAAGAGAATTATTTTAAATAATGTAGGGTAACGCAGCGTAAGAGGTTTGAGGAGCCAGGGAAACGAAAAACACCCGGCCATTGAGACAAATGGATGATGGGTAAAGTTGGGTGTCCTAAAGCCATTTTTACTACCCTTTGGCGGTGTAGTAGGCGAATTAGAGAGCACTGTCTTGTGGTACAATAGTACCAAAAGCGACCAGATTGCTGGAACAGAATGTTTGGCACTAAGTATTTATTAAGGTTCTTTCAGCAACAGCAAACGAGCAACTTCTTGTGATAATACACATTCCAGGGCTAAGTTGGTCTTTGAAATACACTGTGTGACTGTGTTCCTGCACATGGGAAAAACAGAACTATCTAGGTAGAGAAACGCTTTACCAGACATCATTTATTATTCCTAAAAATTAAAGCTATAAGCAACCCAACAGTGTCGGATGATGGTAATAAAGCGCAAGATGATTGCATTCTGTCAAAATTTTCATTCAAATAATCGCTTCATGGTAAGTTGAGCTGACTTAAACTAGATGCGGCATTTTAATCAGGTAGTTGCGAAATTGGACCAACAAAACGAAGATCAAATATCTTCATTAGTGTAAGTTCTACAGCGTAAAAGGAATACACTGAGTCCAAAGTTTCCTTCAGATGTGTTAGTCAATTCCTCAAAGTAGCCTCCAATGCATTTCCTCCTAATCGATTAAAAACCCAACTAGAATACAAATGGGCGTTGACCTAAACGAATTGTTATATGATAGTCACTACCTAACCCAGCTGATAGCACCAAGGAAAGAATTCATCCGGTCTATGACTCACAGCATGTTGGTCATGAATGGCTTCAGTAGACGCGTCAGTGCAAGCAATTCATGCGTTTCAGTCCTATTTGAAGCCACATAACGCCCATACGCGTCCTCCAATGTGATGGAATAGACGCGTAACCACTCGCTTACGGCATGCATCAGAGCCGACCAAACGTTGCCACGATACTCAGTTGTAGCGTCAGGTAGCAACGGCCTCGAGGAGAGCCAATCAAGGCGGCGAAAAGCTGTCGCAGCACGCAGATGCGTTCTCAGGTATGAGACAAGTGAACCATGAGTGACTTGAAAAGCTACAATGTCTAAAGGGTCCACCCGCCAGACAAAAGACCCGCACAGGTACGACTCTCCAAACCCTTGCTGCCAGTAAAATCGGTGTGAAATGATACCCAAATGGGCTAAAAGGAGATCGTGAATAAATTCTTTACGAAGGGAGGCGATTCGCTCAGAGGAAAGAGAATCCAAGGGAACTGCGGAGGAAGAATTGTCTTCCGAAGCCTGAGGTCGAAAGCTAGATTGGTAGCGAGACTTGAAGGCGCACAGCAAAGCGTGAATGGCTAGTGGACCCATTTCAGTTAAGTAGGGTTTTTCCTCGAACGTAGTTAGGCTATAACGGAAAAGAACAAACAACACTGTTGGAAGATTCTTTCGAACTCCGAACGTTAATTAAAAAAAGGACAAATGGTGTACTCTTAAGGCTCTTGGTAATACAATCAAAATCAGCGATTTCATTATGCAGTGGATAAGTTATTAAATCAAGAAGTTCCGTGCATTCTGAAAATTCCCTGTCCACGTTCTTTTAAATAAGTGAAACACTCAAACCACACATACCGCAGTTTCACCTAGTGGTAGTGAGTCTGGCAGAGCGAAGATTCACTTACCAATTTCTTTCTTCCCACGTAGGATTTTTTACAATTCCAGTAGAGCTGACGACTTCTCCCTTTGATAAAGCATGGAGAGCACTACAGAGGTGAGGGATTCCCTCTAGCGACGACTGAGCATCCCTCTCTTGTACGCTCAATTGAGTTGTATCTGCTGAGCCTAAGCCCTATAAATACA